AATGATCACATTTAAAAAAATGTTTCAAACAAACTAAAACAGTACCATAGAAGATGCAAAGTCTTGTTTTTTTCCCTCCCAAATAAACATACCCATTATTGTGCAGAATTACCATTAATGTTAATTATGGTGCAACGGTGCAAAAATGTTCAAAATTGAGTAATTGTCAAAAGGTGAGATGTGCAATGGGTTCGCAGGCTTTGCCAAGGCCTTCTCCCCCTGCTAAGCATCACAAACATTGGGAGGACAGCTGGTGGAGACTCCTGCGGGCCTGGGGTGGTGGCCAGGACAATGTATCCAGCAGGTGTGGCTTTCCCAATGGTGGATCAGTTCATATGATAGTTTACTATGAAGAAAACATTTATCAAAGCCTGATGGTAAAATTTTGATGGTAAAATTTCACCCCATCCATGGGAAGATTTTGGCTGAGTTTCCAGCTATCAGACATGTGCTGTCTAAATGTCAAAATGACAAGGCACTCGTTTAACCCGAGGGGAGAATATAGAACAATATCTGGCAGATTCAGGGCCCCAAAGCTGACACTTTTGGCATGTTCACGTGGTTGGAGCAGGAATGCTGTGCAGCACCAGTGTATGTGGATAATAACACCGCCTCCCCAATTTGTGCTTTTCTGTGCATCATAAGTATCAGATCAGGAAAAAAAGATTCTCTAATTTTAGTATCTTCTGAAATCTCACAATTTTAAAGTGTGGAATTGATCTTTTTTTTGCAAGATTTTTTTTTTTTTAAATCTGTCTTTTAATACATCACTCACTCTTGGCAAAAACCTCATTAGAAGCAGGCCAAGATGGTAACTAAATATTTAAAAACATACAAAAACACCACTTTCAGTTCCTCTCAGCAGTGCCAATATTTCTCAGCACAAATTTTAGTTCTGAAATCAGATCAAAAATTGATAAAAAAAGAAATAAATGATTCAATTCTTTATGCAATAAGACAAATTATGCTTTGGGAGGAAATGATTTGCTATAGAGTCTAGAGTATAAAGTGTTTAATATTTATATCTTATAATAAAGCCATGACATGTTTATAAACACTCTTATCAAGCGTTTTTACAATGGGGTCACCTCTGACAACTGAAAACGCAATAAATATGCACAGACACACCGAGTATGAAATATACATCTTGATTTTATAATCATGTGTGCTTTATTATTTTACACAAATGGAATGGAAGTGTCGAATATTTACACTTAACAGGAGTGTAAGCTGTGCAGTCTCTGTAAGCTCCAGCTCAGGCTAGGGATGATCCCCCCTCCCTCCCATCCTGCACTATACAGCTCAGTGGAGAAACATCCTGTCAGAGAGAAGCACAAAATTGTCATATTGAAAGGATCTAACGGGTATAGCCTGGTGCACTCAGAAGTTAAGACGTACTGAGGAAACACAAATTTGAAAAGGAGAGAAAAGTTTGCCATCCCATCGGGAGTTCACTTTGCCATTTGGTGTTCTGTCCTCATGAGTTGCTGGGGAGATTCTGCGTTCTATCTTTTAGGTGATCTGTGTCGTCCTCCTGTCTTAGCTTGTCCTCAGCTGCTACAAGAAACTGCACAGCTGTACAAGAAATGGTTTCTGAAGCACAGTTTTCAGTGAGGAAGGATATTTACAGACTGGAGTGTGTGTGGGGGTTTCCCCCATGTTCATTCATACCCAATGTGGTATGTGTATACATGATCTAGGACCACATATACCATACGTACACGTAAGTAAAGTGTATAGCAACAGAATTCTGCAGGGAGTCCTCTGGTAAATCAGATGTCAGAGAAGGTACTCCACATGCCTCAAGGGAAATGTTCCTATTCCCCCCCAAAAATGACTAATTACTATGATAAACTTAGGAACTAGCCTGAGTCATTGACTGAAATATTTTGTAGGAATTTTAGGCAGGATCAAGACAGGAAAAAAGAGATGTTACTTCACCAGCGAGTCCATTCAATCTCACCAGAGCAATCACCAGCTGAAAAGCAGAGGGGGCTTCACATAAGAATGGGGGGAAAAAAACGCCTATGAGTGGAAAAAAAAATGTCTCTCTCCGAACCAAGGTGATGGCATGGCTCCAACGACAAGGGAGAGGTTTGCTGCTAGAGTGAGTGTTGGGGCCAGAGTCTGCCTCAGTAGAAGGGAGTGTCCGCAGAGCCAGTGCGGTGCTGGAGCAGGCTCTCTTTGGACGGCCTCAGGCAGAGGCACCCAGGTGCGGCGGGGTCCAGAGCTTGTGCATCGTCACTGCCAGGCAGCGGTGCAGGCTGGCTCTGCGGGGCGCTGGAGCTGCGCCGGGGGGACCTCACGCCCGGTCTGGCTTTCTTGAGTCATGCGTGGGGAAAACGGTGACCCAGAGTATTTGTGTCATCAGTCCATTGTGTGGACTTGCTGTCTGATTCAGCCATAGCCCTGATAGGACAGAAAAATGGAGTGGGCAGTGGGGCAGGAGATAGTTGGAGTTGTGAGGAGGGGAGGAAGGGCAAGAAAGGAGGGAAACAGGAAAAGAAGGGGGAAGAGACGAGAGGAGGGAGCGAAGGGGGGAGCACAGGATTGTAGGAGAAAATGAACAAGTAGAGAAGGCAGAGGAAGGATCAAAGAAGAGGGAGCGAGATAGACACAGAAGGGGGAGCACAGAGGCAAAGAATGAGAAAAGCCAGAGGTGGGAGGAAGAGCAGCAGGTCCTGACGGGCTGGCAGTAAGATCTAAGACAGCTCACAGAGCACCTGAGTGCGCCTCCTAGAGATGGGCTCACATCAAGGATGGAGCCAAGAACGGGGAGCCAGGAGGAAAGGGCTGTGAAGACATGGCCACCAAATCCCGTGGGAGGAGAGCAAAAAAGCAAATGCCCCTGCCATTAGCTGACAAATGAGATTTTGATTTTGGTAAAGCTGAGACCCCCATGGTGCTACACATTGTACCAGAGCATGACAAATAGCACCAGTGACACGATCTGGCACTTTTCTGAAAGGGCCCAGCATGTGAAGGTGACATTGCGCCCCCAGCAAGCCTTCAAATTGGAGAGAGCTCCGGACAAAGTTTGCAGTGTTAGCACCAGTCTGGCCCCAGGCTCCAAATGCGCCTGCATCAGATGTGATCTGGGTAACTTTCATGCCATTTCCATACAAGTCATCAGATTTGCTGAAAATATTTCGGTTCGTTGGAGCCATAGAGACCTCAACATTGGGAAGCGCAAGACAACACAACAAATGGAGGTGTAAATTCTATAGGAAAAGACCCTCTCACCAATATGCTTGGTGATTCTTCAAGCAAATATATATGTGTATATATATTTATATAAATCTACATAAAAAAAATCAGTGCAAATGCCAGTTCTAGTCTGGAAGCATCTACACTAGGAAAATAAATAATTATATTACTACAAAACCAAGGGTTGGTGGTTCAATTTGATTGTACTCAGCCACAGCAATTACTTAATATTTAATGGAAAGCACATCACACGACCCACGAAAACATCTACTCATTAATGACAGTTCTTTAAATAAATGGTTGCATGCTCAGTTGAGAAACCAAAGAAGTTACCATGGTGGCCTAAAAATAGAGCTGGGATCAGGAATGGCATTCTGGTGGCAGAAAACTTCTGGGAGCAATAGTGATGAAAGTCGGCTTTGACCTGAAACTGGCGAATTGCGGACATGGACACGTCTTTAAAGTTTTGAGCACTCTAAGGAAGTCTCTGAAAATTTAACTTTCATCAGAGGGAAAACACTTTGCTAGCCCTTCCATTGGCAAAGGCAGCCTCAAGACTATATAGGTAGATGCACAATTTTGCAAGTTTGTGTTTGTTTTGGTGATTGTAGCCAGGCAGATAATGGTAGTTGTATAAGATGGACACGCTTGTTTTTGGAAAGAGACCCTCAATCTGAGCTCCGATGTTCTTACTGTGAAGAAGCCCCATCATCGCTGATGACTCCCTCTTGCTCTCCCATCCCAGCCTGCATGCTGGTTTGCTGCACAGTGTGGCAGAATCCCTGCCAGGTCTGGATGTACCCCAGAAATAAGGCGATGGGGCTTAGTCTGGGCATGCATAGAACCCAGAGCTGAGTGGTTATTGAGATTGTTGAAAAGTCTCTCTAAACACCATGGGCACAAGCAATGCTGACATCACCATCAGCTCTAAAGTGGGATATAGGCTTTGGGAGGTTTCTTTTTTTAAATCATTATTATAATTGCTAAAAAATAAACTTGGTCCAGGTGCAGCCCCCAAGAAAGGCAGTTCAATTGACTGAGCTCCAAGTTGTGAATTGTCTTTCCCTTTGTCTTATCACTTTGCTCTGTACATTGAAACAAAAGTCTGCACCTCTCACCCCTCCCCCCCACAACCAGATACTTCTCTCTCTCTCTCTCTCTTCCTCAAAGAAATAGTGCATTTTGGGACAGATCTCTCCATGGCTCTAAACCATCTCTAGCTGTTTGAAAACCCTCAGTTATTTGTAAAGCATACAAAAAAAAAAAAAATCCTTATTACTCATGGCTGGCCAAAAGATTAAGTGATCCTTTAAGAATTACATGTGAATAACTAGGAACAAAGATATTCAACTATATTCATGACAGGCTCAGGTTGTTTAACAAGAGAAAAGTAAAAATTTCCCTTTAGATCATTTGCATGAGTTTGTCTCTGAAAGCCATCCATTTAAAAATGCATTAACCAAGTGTTTTCCAAAAATATCCACGAGGGCAACTTGTTAAGAGATGTGCTCCTTGAGAGTATATTACTACTATGTGGAAGGGAGATCATGAGAGGTAAGTGAGGGAGAAGTCTTTGTCAGACTTGGGAAGGAACTCAGATGTTCTTAATGGATCATTGGCATCAAAAGGGAGAGTTCAACTTTGAGTTCCTGAATTTGATCCTCTGCTGATAGTGCATTCATTTAGTCTTTCAATTAATTAGTCTTTACAAAATATTTCACAAAACTTTTTTCACCTATAGAAATTTGTTTCTATACATTTAATATATTTTTATTGTATAAATTATTCTCATCTTTAGTGCCTTCTTTCAGTTTATAAATGGCAAAATAGATAATAAACAATCATAAAGCTAATCTCAGGTGGAATGCCCTCCTCTCTGTAAGGCCAGTCCTCCATACACTTGCAAATTTTATGAAATGCTCTTCTTTGCAGATGCCAGTCAAAGAAACTATTCACTTAGCCTTCCCTGATATTTTGCAGTCTCCAAAGGGACTCCTTTCTTTTTTCCTTCTTTCTTTTGCTTGTTAAAAAATCAAAGGATGTGCATAGTTATAAAATTCGAAGGGTACCAATTACAGATGTGGGTAATGGGAAGGTTGGTGAAGTTCAAGTGCTGGCAACTTTTCTTTAAAGCAAAAACACAGAGAACTCAGCAGCTAAATCAGCTCTGGACGTCTGCTGGGGTGAGGAGGCTGCCCATCTCTTGGGCAGAAAGCCCGTCAGAGGTTTATCCCTACACCTGGTACTTTGAGCAAACCAAAGCCTTCCTGCGTGCTGCAATGTCTTTTCTGTCCCACCCTTGGGCCCTCCGTTTCCTTCATGGCTTCACACAGTTTGTGTTGTACATTCATAAGAATTCACATTGACTGCAAAAACATAAATGCAACAAAAACATAAAAGCCTCCAAGTAGTATATTATATATATTTTGTTCTTCTAAATACTCTTCTGTCATTGTCAGAGGTGCAGTAGCTAATTTATAACTTTTCCTTTGAGGGAATCCAGATGAAAGGCCCAGACTGCTCTTCGATAACAAACTTGCATTGGTTATATATATCTTCTAAGGTGTCTCCTTGGACAATAGCTACAACAAAAGCAAACATAACCTGAATTAGGATCACGTCCCTGGTAGTGAAGAACAGTTAGCCAGCACCCAGCAGAAGCTCAAATCAGTGACAAACTCATTAGGAAACTATGTTTCATCAGTAAGAAAATTCACTTAACGAAGATGGTAGCAATGATTAAAAAACATGCTTTCCAGGCATTTCCTGGATCAGTTTTATTTTATTTTATTTTTTTTATTGTTACTTTTTTTTAAAATTTTATTTTTATATTCCCCATACAATTGCAACCCCCTTTTTTTGACCCCAACCCTCCTTTCCCTGCTCCCCACCCCCCATAGAGTGTCTCTGGTTCATAGTTCTTTGTTGATTTTGATTTTATCTTTCTTATAGTTATTCTTTTTCCTTATCCCTTATTTAGATTTTCTAGATTCCTGCTATCAGTGAGACCATCCGGTATTTTTCTTTTTCTTTCTGGTTTATTTCGCTGAGCATGATCCTTTCCAGCTCCATCCATGTTGCTGCAGATTGCATCCATGGGTTTATCTTTTTATTGCTGAGTAATATTCCATTGTGTATATGTACCATATCTTCTTCATCCAGTCATCTGTTTTGGGGCATTTGGGTTGTTTCCAGAGCTTAGCTATTGTAAATTGTGCTGCTATAAATATAGGGGTGCAGGTGCTCTTTGGAATTAATGTTTGATCAATTTTAAATGCACCAATCTTTCCTCTTTTTAATAATCTGTCTGTGGTTCTGGACAATGAATCATCCATTTACATTTTATGGATTTCTACTCTGAGGCAGGCACTGAGCGAGGCATTGATCAATTTTCAGATTGACATCTCCCTATTTAACAAAGAAAGCAGGCCCAATATTCTCTATTCTATTCTTTGTCAGGGGCAGAAATTCAGATATTTCAGACATAAGAAATAATAAAGGTTTTTGGGGAAACTTTACCTAACCTCCCAAACCTTTAATAGAAAGCCCCATCATTCTTTAAGTACTCTGGAGTGATACTGTGATTTATAATTAGAAATGTCTATTTGGTCTTCCTCTGTCTTTCTGGTGCAGGATTCCTAAAATCTTTATAACTTACTAAGTAATGCAACCAGAGTATCTTTGTTATGCTAGTGAAGTGACTTTGGGACAGCACTCAAGGGTGGGATTGGCTGCCAGGAGAACAAACCATGTGATCAGAGGGCTGGAATTTAGGGTCCTACCCCTCTAACTTAGGGAGGAAGTAGGTTGGGAGAGGGGAGGGGCTGGAGGTTGAATCAATCTTCAATAGCCAACGAGTTAATCAATCATGCCTCAGTTATAACATTTATGTAAACTCCAAAAGAAGGAATTCAGAGAGCTTCCTGGTTGGCGAGCTGCTGGAGAATCAGGGAGCATTGCACACTCAACACTGAAGCTCCGGACCCCTTCACCATACTTCACCCTATGTATTTCTTCATCTAGTTACTGATTTATACCCTCTGTACTAAACCAGTAATCCAGTGAGTAAACAGCTATCCTGAGTTTTCTGAGCTGCTCTAGCAAATTAATAGAACCAAGGATGGGGGTCATGAGAACCCCAGTCAGGTAACAACCCACACTTGGGACTGTTGTCTGAGTGGGGGACAGTCTTGTGGGACTGAGCCCTTAACCTCACAATAGGACCTTATCTCTGGGTAGGCAGTGTCAGGATTGAGCTAAATTGTAGGACATCTTGGCTGGAGTCTGCAGTTGCTTGGTGGTGTGGGAAAAAACCCTTTGACACATTGGAATTAGATGCAGAAACTTACTTGGCAAATTAAGATTTTACCATATAGGACTCATACAGAAGATACTATTTAGCAACTACTTACTAGAGTCACAAATAAGGGGAAGTATAAACAAAGCACAAAACCGTGTATTACCTAAGACACCAAATTGCCCAGAGTAAGTTTGTGCATCTTAGTACCTCCTTTGAACCAGTTTTCTTGATAGCTCTCCAGCATACTTTCCATGTAACACTCGGTCTTAAAAATAAATTGTTACTAAAATGTAGTTTTGATTTTCAAAAATAATTCTCAGAACATATTGATTATTGTAGTTTCATCCCAAACATAAACTAGTGGTTAAAAAGTACATTGTTTTGGTTTTTATTATTATTTTTAAAATTTTATATATTTTTTACATCATTTTTCATTTTACAACAAGCAACTACAAACCAGAGACACACTATGGGGGGCGGGGAGGAGGGAGTAGGATCAAAACAAGGAGGGGTGGGAATTGTATGGGGACTGTAACCGAGATGAAAATGCATACATTGTACATTGTTTTGATTTTATGTCCTACCTGGATATAGTTTTGGGATAAAACATAACTCATGTCTTTGTTATTGATAGAAATTTTACTTAATGTTACCCAATACAACATATTTGCAAACTAACAGCTAAGTCACTGACATTTTCGTATTCTGAATAAGAGAAAAAAATATAATATCTAATATTTCATAAGATAATTCAGGAGAAAAGTTCTTGTTTTTAAACCATTGAGAATCAGTTGGAGGGCAAATTTACAAGGTTTAATTATTCTTTGGATTTGATCAGTGTTTCATGAAAGCACAAAATATTCTACAACTTAGCAGACCCAGGAAAAGAAAATCTTCCTTTATTTTCCAAATTTCATGTATTTAAGGAAATATTTTTAAAAGTTTTTTTATTGAGACTTGACATGGAATCAATTGAAATACAGGGAAGTATTTTAGCTTCTTGTTCAAGTGCTGCTGATGGGGAGACAGACCCTGAGACTTCTCAAGAATAACTGCTTTGGAATTGTCAGTTTTAAGCCCTAAAAGTTTCTTTTTCAAGTTTTCTGATGATATCAAGGAGATCGTTTAATGAAGAATCAATACCTCAGATCTCCTTAATAGCAGGAGATAGCTTAGTAGCATCTGCCCTGAAGGTTTGGAACTGGGCCAGTGGGAACGTGAGAATTGGTTGTGGCTGACCATAAAGAGGAGAGAACCGGCTTCTGGATCAAGTGGATGAAGCAAAGGGAAATTAAGGATTCTCAGCAGGAATGTTTCAGGGCCCAAGTATGCCAGGTCCATAGACCTAAGTGTGCCAAAAGTCAGACAATTTATCTCCGTTCTTAGTGCACAAGAGTACATGAACTTACCTGTAAAATATTCTCCAAATTCTTGTTCTAGCTTAATTGCACGATCATAGGTTTTCTTGGCTTGTTCCTCTGTTAGGCGCTTATTCATCTCCCTGGGAAAATGAGGGTTGATATTAGAACAGAAAGAGAATACACTAAATTGTGAACAATTAAAATGTCTGCAAAAATTGAATCCTGAAAAAAAAAAAAAAAATTGAATCCTGCAGGAAACAGAAACTTCCTCCAAGAAACAGAGTCAAGAAACAGAATCTTAGGCCTCCCCGGTGGCGCAGTGGTTGAATGCTGGGCTGCGAAGCTGCCCACAGCCTCTGCAGCGCCGGTTCGATTCCCGGCTGCCGGGCAAAGGTCCCACATGGTGCGCAGACCTCTCCTGCCGCGCCTGCTGCCCCTCAGCAGTATTTCATCAGTCTGCTAGTTCTGCTCCCCACTCTGGCTATGGTGGATTCTTTTACTATCCCACACTTCTGACTGTACCCAGTGCTTGTATAAATAAATAAATAAATCTTAAAAAAAAAATAAACAGAATCTTTCTTCAAGTCTCTGTTTTGCTGGTATCACTCAGGCATCCAGGCCTCGTCCTCAGGGAGGTTCATCAGAGGGAAGTCCCCGGTTCCATATTAGACTGAAGAAGACTCTCTTTCCTTATGATCTCTGTCACTGTCCCCTATAGCCCCACAGAGTAGGACTACACTTCTGTCCCCAAGACAGGTCCAAGGATATTCAAATCAAGTGCTCTTGCATCTTTTGAGGCTTCTGTCTGTTCAGAGAAACTTGTTCATTTTACTCATTGTTTCCTTCTTTGGACAGGATTTCCAAATCCCAAGCTTCTTGGCTATTCTACTTTGAACTTTAGTCCAGTCTATCTCCGCTTGTCTTAAACGTAGAACTGAAAACAATCTTCTGGGGGTTGGGGGCAGAGGGAGAAGAGATGAAGGGAAGACACACCTCAGTCACTTAGTTTGACTACATCTTTGATAACTAGACTGGATTGTTCCCAGGTCCAACCTCTCCAAAGGCGTTGGTTTCTCAGAACCCCCTGCAACCCCCCCCACCCAAGGGCTGCTGTTCATATTCAGGGTGTAATTGGAAATGTGGAGTGGAGAAACAGAAGTGCTTCCAAAGAATTGTGGGAAATGAGCCAGCATCCTAGGAGTGTAATTTCAATATTTTCAGCTTGAAAAGACATTATGCAGCTCTGGTTACTTAACTTCTGCAGAGGTTGGGGCATGTCTACAGCAACTAGAGCTCTGAACATCCTTTTTTAGTCAATGGTATCTCAAGGCACGGAGGAAGGAAACTTGAATTAAAATGGACACAGACTGAATGTAACCAATAAAAGCGCTAGGACCAAAACATTTTAAAATAGTTTCTAAGCGATTAATATCAAGTACTGAACCATGATAGTGGAACTTGGTAAGGAAGAATCTTCCTTCCATACTTAAGTTTTAAATTTTTGTTCTGACTAGAGAATGGGCTACAAGGAATTATGCCTGGAATGACCTCTCTCTTTTTCTCTTCTAGTCTGTCTTCATGGTGGGTAATTACCATATCATATAAGCACTGCTTAATCACTGGAAGATTATTTTAATACAACCTAGTCTCGGGGACAAATTGAGATGGGAGGAAAATGAAAAATAACCGAATCTACTCATCGCTAACTAGTGACAACTTTCTCCTCCCTAGCCTTAGGTGTTAGCATTTTTATGCCTACTACACTGCACTTATTACATAAAATTACTTTAATTTTCCATCTTTTCTTTTTTTTTTTTAAATTTTTTTTTTTTTATAGAGGCATGTTTTTATTTATTTATTATATTTGTTTGTTTTGTTTATACATGCACTGGGTACAGTCAGAAGCGCGGGAGGGTGAGAGAATTCACCAGAGCCAGAGTGGGGAGCAGAGCAGGCAGAAGGACCGAAGTACACTGCTGAGGGGAGCAGCGGGCGGCAGGAGAGGTCTGCGCGCCATGTGGGACCCTCCTCTGGTGGCCGGGGAGCAGCCGGGGATCGAACCGGCGCCGCAGAGGCCGCGGGCAGCTTCGCAACCCAGCGCTCAACCGCTGCACCACCGGGGAGGCCCTTCCATCTTTTCTTAATCAAAAATATTTTATTAATCAAAGACTGACAAGCATTGCCCTCTGTCCTTATAAGAACACCAATATGACTGAATTTGTTGACTAGAATCCAGCAAAGACATTTTGGTTGGTGCAACAGGATGCATCACAGGTGCTTGTAGAATTCTGGAAAGCACTGCTGCCTTCCATGCCACTCAGGACAGCCAGAGACTGGGTCTTGGACCTGTGGTTCTGATCAATTCCTTTTTCAGAGCAAGAAACTGAAACCTAATGTAGTGAGAGGACTTGCCTAAGGTGGTGTCGTTAATAAGGGTAAATGTCAACGTTGTTCTTTTTTCAGGCAATTTTAGTCAAATAGATTTCACATCACATGAAGTTTTAATATATTTCAGAGCTTTACTTTGAAAAAACCAAAAAAATTCAGACATTAATATTATTCTGGACATGATGCTGATGGAGGCAACACAAAGAAGTGGGATTTCTTAAAACATTTGTGGAAATAAACTCATTTTGTTCTGGAATGATCAGTGGGAGGAATCACGGTATCTGGAGGAATAGTATCAATAATTATCCTTCTTAATAGCACAGATCCTGGGAGGTGTCACTATTGGGTACACAAGATGCTGGATTAAACCAAGGGATATTTTTCACAGAAAGATAGTCTTTTGCTTCAGATAGTTAGAAATCTTGTAGTTATGGATCTTCTTGGACGTCCCTGGCCCAGGTTGGTTTGTTTATTCTGAATTCCCTTTGTACTTAGTGAGTTTCGGTTTTTGTACTAGAGCACATGATTGTTCACTTGCCTGAACTGTGAGTATTTTGATGGCAGTGAGGGGAGCTTGTTTGTCAGAATGTGCGACGGAGCCTCAGGTTAAGTGAATACATGAATGGGGAGGTAGACAAATGTAGTTATGACACAATTGGAGACAGAAGTAAACAAAGGCCACCATGAGGCAAGAAGGTACAAGCAGACAGGGATTGTGGTGGGGGGGACATTCAGCAGGGTAAAGAGACACAGCAAATCTTCTCACTACTGGGGTTTTGGGAGTCATGGAGATGCAACATCAAAAGAACATCACTTTTGTACATGCTTGACTTTCTGCTTCTCTGAAGAGACAGCGATATATGTGGTCATCCACTCTGTGGTTTGACGTGGATGATGCACTTGAGAGAACATGTTTGTGATGATATATCAATGCCTGAATGTGATAGCTGTCATGCTTTTGTTCCAGCTGACCTACCATTCACTCCTCCCTGGGGAACAGGCAATGAATGCTGGCTTTGCTCCTCAAGTAAAACCCGTGGAAAAGAATGAACGGAAAAGTAACCATCCAGCGTTTTATAATGTGATCACCGATTTGAATGTATTTGAATGTCCCCATTGCTGTACTCAAGACCTATGGATAGAGCTGCAGCAAATCGTAGCCAAATCCTCCTCTTCATGGCAGAATCAGACTTTAGTGTGTTTCATTCTTGCTGGTGATAAGTGGCTGCCGCAGCGCCCTAAGGCAACACTACATAATTCACTTCCTAGTTGTGGAAGGATATAGATATTCTCTGATGGAGCACCAGGTGGGAATGCCTCCCAAATCACACTGAACGAAAAGTGCAAGTGCTGTTTCTCCCTCAGGTCTCACTTCTCTGGGAGGCCATTTATCACTGTACTGGTTTATGACATGAAAACTTTTTTTCTATTTCTAAAACATGTCTTTAAGCTGCTGTTCCCAGGAGGTGAGGGCCATTTTTTATAACATTAATAATATTTATAATATTTCTGAGGCTCTTTACAGATTATAACTCACTCTCACATCATGAAATTTGTGGCTGCTTAATTCACTTTGTATAATGTCCAGCACTGTATCCTACATGAGGATAATTCTATCAGGAATCATTGTTTTATCATCAACTTATTTTTTCCATGTGCCAACTATGAGCAAAGCTCTTTCTGTTGTAATTTATTTATTTAATTTTTATTTAAACATCCTTGTTCATTTTTTCATAATAGAGGATTTCTCCTCTCAGGTGTGGTTGCTGGTTTTTCCACCTCCAAAGTACCTACAGTCCTCCACCACACTTCACCACACTCTCCGCTACCCTGTTCTCCATTCTCCCCCACACCTCCTGTCTTATATCTATGGTCTGCTTTCAAGGGTCAATCTTACAGTTTGTCTTAGTTTGGTTTCTGTGGATTCCACATAAAAGTGAAACCATTTATGTTTCTCCTCCTAACTTTTCTTGGAATAATTCCTTCCTGTGAAATCCACGTTTATCTTTTTTGATTGCTGAGTAGTATTCTATTGTGTATATCTATACCACATCTTCTTGATCCACTCATTTGTTCTGGGGCATTTAGGATGTTCTCATAGCTTATCCATTGTAAATAGCACTTCCATAAATATAGGCGTCTAGGTTTCCTTTTGAATTAATGTTTTTGTGCTCTTTGGATAGATAATTAGCAGTGGAATTGTTAGGTCACATGGTAAATCCATTTTTAATCTTTTTTTTTTAAAGAATCTACTGTACTTTTTTAATAAAATATTTATTTATTTACACAAGGACTGGGGTACAGGCCAGAGGCGTGGGAGGGTGAGCAGAACAGGCAGACAGATCAAGAACACAGCTGAAGGGAGCAGCGGGCGAGACAGGAGAGGTCTGCTGCGCCATATGGGCATCTCCCTGGCTGGCCAGGAATTGAACCCATGCTGCAGAGGCTGCAGATAGCTTCACAGCGCTGCGCTCAACCTGCTGTGCCACCGGGGAGGCCCCCATTTTTAATCTTTTGAGGAATCTTTGTACTTCTCTCAATAGGGGCTGGATCAGTCTACATTCCCACTGACAGTGTAAGGGAGTTTCTTTTTCTCCACATGTGGCCAGCACTTGTTTGTGTTTTTTTAAAGATAGGGCCATTCTCACAGGTATGAGGTGGTATCTCATTGTAGTTTTCATTTTAATTTCCCTAAAGACAATTGATATTGAGTATTATAATTTAATACCTAAATTTATGAGGCTGAAGTTACTGTCATTGACCAGCTGATTAAATTTTTTCACCCTGCTGAGAACCTTTGTCCATTTTTTATTTGTGGGAATATATTCTCTTTTTAAGATAAACCTCTGGCCATTTCCTCAAAGATTGACAATGTATTCAATTTAATTTCCTTAGGCTACAATTCCAGCTACCATGCTTGATTTACTTCTTTGTCCTCAGAGAAGTTGATATCCTCTACATGTAATTGCTTTCACCTATGGGATTAAGTAATTTCGTTTTCTTTAGCCTTCCCATAAACACTGTTTTCCAAACATTTGTCATTTATTTCAAATGCTGTCAAACATTCTAAGGTATTGAGAACCAACTGAGGGTATATTTGAGCAAAGTTCATGCAACAGACACACTGGTGTTACTTCTTAGAAAAGGCACTGTTTAGGTATTGGGTTGTTGGAGGAGGCATGATGTACTTTTCTGTTTTTTCAAGCAAAAATGAGTTATGACTTTTCAGACAAGTCAACATTACATAATGATAACATAATTTTACTCCTTTTATAGTAAGGTAACTTAAATCTGTTGCAGTTAAAATAGCTACTATCTCCCAAGTAATCACTACAAGCTAAATTACATTCATGATCTAATTTAACTTTCACATTTGCTCTATGGGACATTATTAATGTGGCTAGTTTGGTGGTGAGGAACTAAAACATACAGAGGTCAGGCAACTCACTCCATGTTGATCAAAACAAAGCAACTAAACAAAGTAAAGGAAAGAACTAAACTTAGCTTCACCAATTTTCAAGTCCCACTCTTGGGCTCTTTGCTACCTTTATGGCTACTATAGCCTCGTTCATTCTGCCTGGGTGTGGTCCACAAAGCAACATCAACAACTTATTTCAAATCACCACAGAATAATGTTACTTTATAGTCAGATCATGAATATATATCCAATTTATTTACTTGCATTTGAAGGACTATATTTCACAAGTCCTCTGAAAAATAAAAGAACAGAAAAAATCTGTGTCATGAATTTTTCCCTTGCTCAAAAAGTACACAGGTATGAAGCTACTGGTTTGAGTTATAGATGTTTTTGGCTGTGTCACTAGGAACACTCCTTATTAGGGAGAGTGGGCTACAGACATAAGACTTTAAATAAGGACATAAAAATTCTATGCTAGAACAAAATGAAATGCAAATGGAAAGAGTCCAAAATATTGTCAGCTCCCTCTATTAAAACCTCAAACATTTAAAAGATTTATTTATGGGACGGCTCTGAGAAGAAAGAGATAAATCAAAGATAATTGATTTCAAACCAAAAAAATCAATCTTCAAAACAACCAACAAAACAACAAAATCACACACACAAACTTGTGATATGAAAATAAAAATTAAGAAATATTAGTGAAGACATTTAAAGAAATTACTGACATCTTTCTAGCGGTTTGAAAAACTATCTTTTAAAAAAGGGAACTTGTGGAAATGAACAATGGCATCATCCATTTATAAATATTTATGAAAAAAGTTGTTAACAATTTGCTGTATAATATGGAACAGGGGCTAGATGAAGCCTCCCTTGTTCTCCACTTACATCAGAGGTTCCAGGGACTTGGGCTTAATGAAGATGGCAATGGGATAGAGCTGGGCAACTTGTAACCGCTTGATAGCATTTCCTGATACATCAAGTATACAGTGTTTGCCCTGGTAGAAAGAGAAGAAAAACATGAAATTAATCCAGAAAGAATGACAAAAATTCACCAAAAAAAATGAGAATAATGTAAGTGTGTTTTAGAGGGAGGTAAGGGATACTGGATCTCTAAAAGTTGAACAAGAATCACTGCAGAGCATAAATAAAAGTTGATACAGAAGATCATCAATGCTTGTTTGCAATAACTCATATGTGCTATCCCCCTACCGAGTGTCTGCTATTGGGAGGGGCATATTACGTTATCTGAGTTAATTTTATTTTCTTAAATAATTACCTGATACGTAGCAAATACGTAATGTGACTGAATCCCTTCTCAAAAGGTTCATAAATCATCCCTGAAGACAACTGTCTAGAAGAAATCCCCAAATGTATGAGGTAGGTTTCAACTGCATTTTATAGAAAAATAGAAATATTACTAACTTGTCCAAAGTCTCAGTGCTGGAGCACTCAAACCCAAGTGTAGAGAACAGAGAATTGTTGGTTGAAATAGACACCTCATTGTCTCACTGGCCCAGCGTTAGACTTGGAAGAAAGAGTTTAGAATAATCACATAAATCTTTGCTGAGTGCTTATGTGTATTCTTCCCTCTACATGCTCAGTCTAGCAGAGGGCAGACAAGAAAAGTTACCTTAAATATTTTATCTTAAAAGTTGAGAGAGAGGCTCGCACTGAGTAAGTAAATTTTTTTTTGTCTGTTAACAAAGAAAAAAGTTCCCATTACATTAAAACACACCCCATTTAACTTGGCTTTCATTGCAATGAGTTCTCAGAGCAAGGAGTTGCTTTATAAAGTATTTCTGCAAAAGCAGATACATTTGCTACACGTCATATTCTACCTCCTGGAGAGAAATAGTTTCATTAATTAGGCTGAGGCTAGAAGACTTTTCATAAGAAGAAAAAACAACAACTATATTATGCAGAAAGGATCAATCCTAAATCAATAATAGGGGACAAAAATTCATTTGTAATATTCACATGAAAATGAACAGAGTCCAATGAATATTTGAGTTCTTATCAGGGAAATATAGTAGGATGGCTCAAACCTTTATCATTTAAGTAATATATTCTGTTTCTTATCCTTGAAAGGTAGCAGTTATATAAAATATATTAAATGCTGTTTGCCCAGAACGTTTCAAATTAACAAAGGTTGCATCTACATGCTTACAAGAGAAGAATAGATGGAATTATCTAGGAAAATAATTAGAAACAGTAGGATGTACCCACTAGAATATAACTTTTGAGAGAAGGAAAATAGATGCAATTTCTTAATGTATTTTCAGAGAGAATTGAAAATTTCTTGTTTAATTTTTTTAATCCTCCCATTAAAAGGGGTATAAAAGACTGTATAAATGAAATCAACCCAACAAATATTAATTACACAACAGAATAGGACTGGCACAATTCTTTTTTTTTTTTTCCTATGAAATTGTTCCTCTGTATTCATAGGCTCTCTCTATAGCAGATCTTAATGCCTCAGTCAAATGCCTTCCTATATTATGTTCTCTTGTATGTTCTCCTTTTTCATGTCCTTGATGGGAATCACAGCTTCTACACCTCTAAGCTGGAATTTCTGCCAGGAACAGGTTAGGTCATCCTACCATCTATCTACTCCTCTACCATGAGTATCTCAAGTTTTCAGGATTATAAACTGTAACTAATGCTGACAGAAACAAAACAACCGAGGCTCTAAATAACTAATTAAATGCTATTTTTTTTTACATTACCTCAGTAAACATAAAAAAAAAGAAAAAGAAAAATATCAATTTGTTTACAGGGGTCAAAGATAAGTGAGTCAAGGGCATACTCAGTCTCCATAAACTTAAAACTACTAATAGCCTTTTAGGTTTATAGCTTCCACCCATGGCAACCAGCCTACATTATTGAGATTAGAACAACGATTAATGACCTTTTACTAAAGTGATTCTCTGTTAAGATATCTTAAAAGGGATATTTAATAAAAATTTACAACTGCAATCAGGAAAGAATAATAAGTAAAAAACACACTTTGCCAACAGGAAGCTCACTTTAGGAAAGGTATAATGTGATTAATGAACATACCCTTTCTGCTACGAATCTCACAGATTGCACACTGGTTCCATATAAGTTGTCATTGTACTGGCCAGCTTCTATAAACTTGTGCTCTTGGATATCTTTCTCCATTTGTTCTCTGGAAATGACAAAGTGATAGTCTCTGCCATCCACCTCGTAGTCACGCTTTGGCCTCGTAGTATCTTTATAACACAAAAAAATAGGGAAATTAAGGTACTTTTATATCCATATATTTCCTTTATACCTATTTTTCCACCATACCTTCAATATAAATAAGTAAACACATATAGTTTTTAAGGACTATGACACAGGTACCAATCTTAGTTTTCCACAGAAAACAACTACAGAACTGGACAAAATACAAAAGTAGTTATTTTCAGGCATCAGACAATAGGCAGTGCAGGGGTTTGATGCTTTAGAGAAGAGAAATGCCTGAGGGAAACTTTGCATTCATCCTGTCTCCATTTCCAAATGGAGAGTAAAGAGGGCAAATAGTCAAGTCATGTGTTGCTTATACATGTGGATATTTTATGATAAATGTATCATGAGGTTATTTCATCATTGTGTCAACACCATAGCGTATAATTATAAAAACCTAGATGGTATAGCCTATGACACATTTAGGAGACGTACTATAAGCTATTGGGACATGCTATAAGCTATTATATAGGTAGTCTGTCATTGATTGAAGCATAGTTAAGTGACGCATGGCTGAAGGGGGTTCTGGAGTTCAGCCACAACTGGGTATTTGGCCAAAACCCCAGAAATGTCACATTTTAGAAGGTTACTCTAGATTTTCTGTGGGCCCAATTTTACTAAGTCATAATTGGAAGAAGCTGATCTGTCAGGAAATTACTATCTGCCAGATGAAAACTTAATATTCTACCAAAAAACATAACCAAATTTAGACTCTCAATAGTGTAGCATCACAATCATCAGCACACAATCAAAGATAATGGGACAAAGGAGCAAGAAAATGTATTACACAACTAAGAGAAAAATGCACATACAGTGTATTTAGGGATTTTAAAGGATATAATATGTCCTTTAACCATAATCAATGTGGGATTAAAAGTCATCAATTTCAACCACGTTTAGAGGAGTCCAAACTTTTTGGGTAAGAAGAGAAAGAAAAAAATCTGTCATTATGAATAAAAATTTAAAATATTTCCAATCTTTCAATCAGATATTCTGATAATGGATCCCACATCTTGTGACTTCTGTGGAACCCCACCAGAGTCCATCCAGAACAGTGAAACCCTTGACCAGGGAGTGTGGAAAAGCCACATCCAGAGGAAGCTAAGGCTATAGCATCTGGGTACTAAGCAAATAATGGGGAGAAGGAAAATCCCAACAAATAGCCTAATGAGTCCTTAGAGGAATAATGCAACACACAGAGAGAATAAATCTCTAGAACCCAATTTCAAAGAAATGGGGAAAATATGGTCCTCCTACCAGTTATAAGGTTTAATATTGCCTTGATAAAGAAAATCAAAGAAATGGAAGAATGCCAAGAAAACTCAGAAAAAAAAATTAGTGTCTGTAGAAATGAAATCAATGAAAGTTATGGGAGCAGAATAGATCAAATGGAAGCATGAGTCAGAGTACTTGAAGGGTGAATATACAGAGAATACAGATAGAAAAGGAAGAGGGAAACAAAATTTAAAAAAATGAAGAAACAATCTGAAAATTAGTCACACCCATGAGGAAAGGCAACAAAAGAGTAATGGGAAGACCAGCAAGGGAAGAGAGAGAAAGAAACAGAAAATTCATTTAAAGAAATAATGTGGGAAAACTTCACAAACTTAGAGAAGGAAGTGAATATACAAATCTAGGAAGTGAAAAGAACCTCAGGATACCTAAACAAAATGAGACTCACAGCAAGACATGTAGCAGCGAAACTTCTAAAAGCGCAAGAGAAAGAAAGAATATTGAAACTAGCAAGGGGGAAGAAGTAAATAATTTGTAAAGGTACCTGGTCAGGTTAACATCAGACTTACTTGAAGAAAAAGAATTGGCAAGGAGAGAATAGTATGACATATTCAAAATACTTAAAAAATTGCCAGCCAAGACTACACTTTTCTGCAAGGCTCTCCAGATATGAGGGAGAAATAAAAAGGCCTTATCAAACATAGAGAAATTCAAGGAATTTGCAAATACTAGACCACTCCTCCAAGAAATATTGAAAGGAGCTTACACATCTAAACTGCAGAGAGGAACATACATAAATAATTGAATAAGGAAATAGGCGGAACCACAAAAAATAAGGCTAAAATGGCTACAACAGACTTTCATACATCAATAATCACTCTAAATATAATGTTCTGAATTCATCAATTAAATGAAACAGATTTCCATTTCATTGGAACAGGAAACAGAATCCGACTTTCTGTTGTCTTTAGGAGATACATCTAAACTTAAGCTCAGGCCAACTCAGGCAAACCCAGGCTCAAAAATATAGTGGAAAGACAATCTTAAAAGTGAATGGGGCCCAAAAGAAGGCAGGGACAGCTATACTCATATCTGACAAAACAGATTTCCAGTAAAAAGGTAGCAAGGGACACTACATAATGATTAAGGGGACTACACAGCGGGAAGATGTTAAGAGTCATCAGTGCATGCTACCAAATTACCTTAGGTAACTACTATCAACCCTGAAAACAGACATTGTAAATAGCACATTTGTGGAAATCATACGCTATCACCTATGGAGTGATCAACCGGACAGAAAATATACAGGGATAAAATAGCCTTAAAACGAAAATTAGACCACATGGACCTTGTAGACATTTACAGAGCACTGAGATCCCCCAAAGCAGAATATATATTTTTCTCAAGTAAACATGGGACATTCCCCCAAATTGACCACATTCTAGTCACAAAGAAAATACCAACAAATTCACAAAGTTTGAAGTCATACCTATCTAGCATCTTCTTAGATCATAAAGGTATCAAACTAGAAATCAGGTATTAAAAGAAAGCAGAAAAATACTTTACTACATGGATACTTAATGGAAGACAATGGAAAGACTAGTGGGTTAGAGAATAAATCAAAGAAGAAATAAAAAAGTACCTCAGACAAATGATAACGAAGACACAACTTCTCAAAACTTAACACAAGCCCACATCAAGAAATAAGAAAGAGCTCTTTTAGAAACCCCACTGACTGGGAGAACATTTTTGCACACAACACTAATGATAAAGGACTGATCACAAAAATCTACAAAGAGCTGATGAGACTCAACAAAAACAAAGAAAATAATCCAGTCAAAAAATGGGCAGAAGAGCTAAAAAAGAAACTTCTCTGAAGAAGAAATGCAAATGGCCAACAGGCATATGAAAAAATGTTCAACATCACATGTAATCAGGGAAATGCAAATCAAAACTACAATGAGATACGATCTTACATCAGTGAGAATGGCACATACTAAAAAAACTAGCAACAACAAATGTTGGCAAGGTTGTGGAGAAAAAGGAACTCTCCTGCACTGCTGGTGGGAGTGCAAACTGGTCCAACCACTATGGAGAGCTGTGTGGAGATTTCTCGAACTACTGAACATAGAGCTTCCATATGATCCAGCAATTCCACTCCTAGGTATTTACCCAAAGGACACAGAAACATCAATTCCAAAGAGCACCTGCACCCCTGTGTTTATAGCAGCACTGTTTACAATAGCTAAGCTTTGGAAACAGCCCAAATGCCCAAAAATAGATGATTGGATCAAGAAGATGTGGTACATATACATCATGGAATATTACTCAGCATTCAAGAAAGATAAACACATGCAATTTGCATCAACATGTATGGAGCTGGAAGGGATCATGCTCAGTGAAATAAGCCAGAAAGAAAAAGAAAAATACCGGATGGTCTCACTCATAGCAGGATTCTAAAAGACTTAAATAAGGGACCAGGAAAAAGAATAACTGTAAGAAAGAAAATATCAAAATCAACAAACAACTATGAACCAGAGACACTCTATTGGGGGTGGGGGGTGGGGAAAGGAGGGCTTGGGGTCAAAATAAGGGGGTTGTCCCACCAACTGGGAGAACATTTTTGCACCCAACACTAATGATAAAGGACTGATCACAAAAATCTGCAAAGAGCTGATGAGACTCAGCAACAACAAAGAAAATAATCCAGTCAAAAAATGGGCAGAAGAGCTAAAAAGAAACTTCTCTGAAGAGGAAATGCAAATGGCCAACAGACATATGAAAAAATGTTCAACATCACTTGTAATCAGGGAAATGCAAATCAAAACTACCATGAGATACCATCTCACACCAGTGAGAATGGCACATATTAAAAAAACTAGCAACAACAAATGTTGGCGAGGATGTGGAGAAAAAGGAACTCTTGTGCACTGTTGGTGGGAGTGCAAACTGGTCCAACCACTATGGAGAGCTGTGTGGAGATTTCTGGACCTACTAAACATAGAGCTTCCATATGATCCAGCAATTCCACTCCTAGGTATTTACCCAAAGGACACAGAAACATCAATTCCAAAGAGCACCTGCACTCCTATGTTTATAGCAGCACTGTTTACAATAGCTAAGCTTTGGAAACAACCCAAATGCCCAAAAATAGATGACTGGATCAAGAAGATGTGGTACATATATACCATGGAATATTACTCAGCATTCAAAAAAGATAAACACATGCAATTTGCAGCAACATGGATGGCACTGGAAGGGATCATGCTCAGCGAAATAAGCCAAAAAGAAAAAGAAAAATACCGGATGGTCTCACTCATAGCAGGAATCTAGAAAACTTAAATAAGGGACCAGGAAAATGAATATAAGAAAGTGAAAATCAAAATCAACAAAAACTATGAACCAGAGACACTTTTTGGGGGGTGGGGGGCGGGAGGGGAAGGATTGGGGTCAGAATGGGGCGTTTGCAATTGTATGGGGGAATATAAAAATAAAAATTTAATATTTGAAAAAAAAAATAAATCTTTAATATATAAAAAAAAAATAAATAAAAAAAATAAAAACAAGTATATGTAAATACTTTTAAAAAAAAAAAAAAAAAAAAAAACAAAAAGGGGGTTGTAATTGTATGGGGAAATAGAAAAATAAAATTTAAATAAAAAATAATTTTAAAATAAAAAAATAAATAAAAGGAATCTACAATACTCATTAAAAAACAAAGAGCTCTTTCATCTCAAGAAATTATGAAAAGAGGAACAGACAAATCCAAAAGTCAGTAAAAGAAAAGAAATAAAAAAAATCAAAGCAGATATAAATGAAAGGGAAAAAGACAGTACAAAAGAGTAGCAAAACCAGAAGCTGGTTCTTTGAAAAAACCAAAACAGTAATCAAAACTCTTCCATCACGAAAAAAAAAAGTCTAAGACCAGATGACTTCACACATGAATTCTACCAAACTTTCAAATCTGAACTAACACCTCACCTGCTCAAACTCTTCCAAAAAGTTGAAATTGAAGGAACACTTCCAAACACATTTTATGAAGCCAACATTACTTTAGCACTAAAAACAAAGACAATACAAAAAAAAAAATGACAGACCAATTTCCCTAATGAACACAGATGCAAAGCTCCTCCATAAAATCTTAGCAAACTGAATCTAACAATGCATTCAAAGGATCATGCACCATGACCAAGTGGGATTCATACCATGTACACAAGGGTGATTCAACATCCAAGCATCAATCAACTTAAGTCACTACATCAACAAAAGGAAAGCTAAAGACCATGTGATCATATCAATAGATGCGATAAAGCATTTGATAAACTCCAACATCCATGTGTGACGAAAACCCTACAAAAACTGGGGATAAACCAAACATATCTTAACCTAAAAAAGTCATGAATGCTACAGTCAATATCCTCTTCAATGGTGAATTACTGAAAGCTTTTCCACTAAGAACTGGTAAAAGGCAAGGATGTCCAATTTCACCACTACCATTCAACATAGTATTAGAAGCCTTAGAGCAATTACATTAGTGCAAGATATGAAAGGAATCTGAATTGGGAAAGAAGAAGTAAAACTTATCATTATTTGCAGATGACAAGATAATATACATAGAAAACCCTGCAGACTCCACAGAAAAACTAATCAAAACAATCAGTCTAGCAAAATGGTAGGTTATATAATCAATACACAAAAATCAGTTGCTTTCCTATATAAAACTGATAAGATAGAAGAGGGAGAAATTAAGAAAACAACCCCATTTACAATCACACCAAAAAAAAAAAAAAAGAAAATGAAATACTTAAGAGTAAATCTAACAAAGGCAGTAAAGCTCTATATGAAGAAAACTATAGGATATTGTTAAAAGAAATAGAAGACATAAAGAAATGGAAAAATATTCTTGGCTCATGAATTAGAAGAATCAACACTGACAAAATGGACATCTTACAAAAAGCACTATACAGATTTAGTACAATTCCAATAAAAGTATCAAATGGGATTCTTCAAAGAAATGGAACAAAACACTGCTGAAATTCATATGGAATCAAAAAAAGATCCAAGTAACCAAAGTTCTCCTAACTAAAAAAAGGAAAGAATGGGGGTATTACATTCCTAGACTTTGAACTACACTACAAATCCATACAATAACAATAATAGCATGGCATTAGAACAAAAACAGAGACGCAGAGCAATGGAATTGAATTGAAAGCCCAGAAATAAACCCATCCCTATATGGACAGTTTATCTATGACAAAGGGGGCAACAACATACAGTGGAAGAGGGGTGGTCTCTCAATAGACGGTATTAGGACAACTGGACAGCTGCGTTTAGAAGAATGAATTGAGTCTACTATTTCACACTTTACTCAAAAATCAGTTTGAAACAGATAGAAGGCTTAGATGTGAAACCTGAAACCATAAAACACATAGAATGAAAGAGAGGCAAAAACACTTCAAGACATAAGCTTCAGTGATGTCTTTAGGAATTGTTTCCAGCAGGGAAAAAAAAATAAAAGAGGTCATAAACACCTGGGACTATATCAAACTCAAAAACTTCTGCACAACCAAAGAAACCATAGGAATACGGAGAAACCAAACTGAGGCAAGCTTGAAACCAAACCCTTGCAAGCTGACTATGGACCTAGACACAGCGAGAGGCGAGGAGGGTTAGGAGAGGGAAGGCAGCACAATGGACTACTGTGGGGCATGATGGGTGATTCCGTGTTGGCTGCTCTGAGGTGGTCATACCTGACGGGGGGGATTCTAATGTTACCTCAATAAAAAAATAAATATTAAATAGATTTAAAAAAGAGCAAAACTGCAGGTAAAAAATTTCCTTAAAGATGTTCATTATATTAACTTACACATTTTAATAATTATAACATAATTACAGTTGTATTTTAATTATAATTCATGATGGCAAAAAGAGAAAAGATGAAAATACTTATAAATGAAGAATGGCTAATAATCATCTAAAATATTTATACATCATTTTAAATGTTAAGGACAAAACACCTCTCTATGTGTCATAGGACAAAGTGTGTGCATAGAAAGAAAGAACAGATTGAAATTCAGGAAACTGTTGTTTCCATTTGGTCCACAAGGCCTTGGGAGAGGTCTCTGACATGGTTAAAAAGCTGCCGGTGGCGTCTATGAATACATTAAGTGATGTCATCTTTGGGTATTGTGTGGGATTCTGTATATTTTTATTTTGTCTAACTTTATAATGTTTTTTAAGTTGTAACAATGGACATGTATTGCTCATCATAAATTAGTCTATTAATTTCAATAAAGGGAAGAGGAAAGTGTGCAAGGTAAAGGGGAAGTAGAGACAGAGCGTTAGGACTGTCAGGCTTTTTTCTTTTAAAAGTGCAGGAGAAAACCAGAAGCTGCGCTGAATGGACTGATGCTGACTGGGCTGTTTCCATGGGCAGCCCTGTTAGGATGTGTCTGTGCTAAGGCAGGATCCCTTCCCGGAGCCTCTGCTAGGGATAGTTCCAGGAGCCAGGGCAATCACCCTTGTTTCTTATGCTCATGTCCTGCAATTCCTGCTTTCTTATTTTTTCCCATTTGACATGCAGCACTGATAGGTAAGAAACACCTTGAAGAATAAAGCTCAAAAAATGTGGCATGAGAAAGAAATACTTTTGGGATCGAATTTAAGAGCTTGTCATCTAAAATGAATTAAAATTTCCTGGAGGGTCTGTCTCTATATGCAGCACACCACTATGCATTTTATGTGACCTTGTAGGAGTAGAGGTGGAAGTGGGTGAGTGGGGGAAAGATTAGCAGGGTGTGGGGAGGTAGAGGAGATGGAATCATATGGGGTTACACTCAGAAGGAGGGGGAGACAATTGTCCATAACGACACGAAAGCAGATTCTATCTGAAATGGTCTAGAGGGTAAATTAAAGCTTTGTGTAACTTCTAGACATCATCCTTCCCTATCTGTTAGAAAACACAGGAAAGGTTATTCTGTTTTGGCATTAATATACGGCTCTATGTAATTCTGAAATAATTTGAATATGTAGTTTTGTGTTAGGTCTCTCCCACTCTATGAGAAAGGATGCTTCAGTGGCAAATCAATCCATCTGTAAGATGATACTCTTGCTTACCATAAATCCTATGCTATTTGACATGTTTAGCAGAGTTACAAAGAAAGAATTCATCCTGCCTTTGAGGGGACCACGATCAGTTTGGAGATTATTATAGTCACGGGACAGGAAATAATACATGACAGCATACATGTTAGGCAGTGAGAATTAAATAAGATATTCAGATAACAGGCTGCCAATGCTCTCCGAAGCAAAAGCTACAGTACTGGAGGAACAGAATTACATCCTATCATCTCAAAAGGAGTTAGCCCCTCTCCCCTTTATTTTCCAGAGAAAAGAGAAAAGATACTTACGAGGCACACACGAACCAAATTTGTCAGGGAATTCAGATATCAAGTCATCGTTGATCCGATCCTTCATGGGGCCCAGGATAATCACTGGTCGGGTATAGGTTACTGAGAGAGGGAAAGGAAGAAGCAGATGAGGGAAAGACTTGGAAGTGACCGAACAACTGTCCTGGAAGGGTCATTCTGTAGGTGAAATGGCAAAACAGGCAGAACTGCTGAGGGCATGACTTCCTGGATCAAATTGCCCATCCAGCCCGGCACGGGGGAATTGATATTTAACACCCAGTGTGGTGTCTGTGCCTACTTCATGGAATTTACTAACAGGGAAAAACAACTGTAGTGTCTGTCAACAAAAAGAAACATTTGGAGGGGAGTTTTGCTTACTCTTGGCTTATGCCCACACAACGTCAAAACAACTACTGAATTTAGTCAACTGAGTGGGAGAAAAAAAGCTCCCAAAGCAGCTATTTGGCCATTGTTTAGACAATGACTTTAAAAATGAATTGTTAATGGTACTGACTATTTATATAATTTCCCTCAGCTCCAAATATTCTCCATACTCTGCTAGGATTTTCCCATTTTCTTTGTATCCTGGGGTTAGAAGGAACTCTAAAGTTCATTGGGCACAACTCTTTTTCCGATGCTTAAATATTTTCAGCACTATCCCTCTCAATAGGCATTACACTCTGTATCAATGCTTCCAGAAATGGAAATAGCTCATGGATGGTTTGCATCTTAGCACAGGTCTGCTAGAAAGCCCTTCCTGGTACTCAGCTGACTTCAGTCTGGGGGATTTTAAAATCTGGGGGATTTTATCCATTTATCCTTAGGTGGGGCCTTTAGGTGACTTAGATGTGCTCCTTCTTACTGAGCACAACTCCTTGGGGAGCTGCTCCATCTCCTGGGGACTATCACTGCCCAAGCCCAGCTGGGAAGACACAGGGTGAGAGAATCAAAGAGAGAGCAAGGTACTGGTCTGGAACAGCTGAGTAGTAAGCAGTTTATTTTCCTTAGTCTTTCATTGCTCCCTCCTGTAATGACGTCACCTGCAATGGCCTGGAAATCAGGAACAGGACAGAGTGTGCTCAGAAACTTACTTTCCTGCCTGGTGACAGGCTCATAAGAAAGAATGAAGTCTTCTTGCCCTCCTGAGGAGAGAAGAAAGGAAAATTACAGTGGACTAACAACCAGTCATACACCACAGCTACAAGCCCTGCTCTCAGACCCAGCAAACAGCCACAGTTCTGGGTTAATTTCCCTTGCTCTTTTCCCTTTAACTAGTCCCCAAGTCCCTTCATCCTCATAAAACTCCTTAGTTCTATTGTAGTGTCAGGACACAGGTAGCCATAACTCTAAGTAATGACTGCGGCTGTCTACCTGCAGTTGAGCAGGGCAGTAACCCAGGAGGCTGCCTTCTGTCTTACACACAGAAACAGGGCACCATGACCTTTGCTCTGAGCGTTATTACTTAAAACGAAATCATTTAGTTCAAGGGGAGGGTGCATCCAATAGTTTGCTGTTACTTTGTCAGAGTTTCTGGACCTTTTATTTCAGCTTTTATTGCTCAAAGAAGCACATTGCCTGAAAGTGTCTACTTGTTTTATTTACAGTGCAGAAGAAATTTCATCAGTAAATACTAGAGGACACAGAGGATTTTACCCTAATGCTAATTCATCAGGAAAATGCTGAATCAATCCACGGACATAAAAAAAATGGAGTAGGATCTAAATCACTGATTTTAATTTCTGCTGAATCTAGCCTGGAAACTTTGGAAAGAAACTAAGAAAGGAAATGTGTTCAACATGTAGTGAAAGCCCCTTCAGTGGCACTTCATGCAAGCCTTCTGATTCAAGCCAACATAAAACCATGAAAAGTAAATTGGTTTTAGGCAATTATTTTTTTTAATCATCTGTCTTACCCAGTTGATGAATAGGTTTGAATGTGATATTAACCTGATTTGGTTGAAGACCCAGAAGGGCCCACTCTTATTTGCATTAAGCCCAGGGCTGACTATCCTTCGGTGGGGGAAATAGTTTAGAGCTGTTGAAAATCACTTTTTATCTGTTGTTCTCTATAGGACTGTAAGATGACATAGTTTTTCCTGAAACCAAGGGGTGACGAATCTCATTGCTTGATGGAGAGATGTCCTCATTCATCAGTCTTGAAACACATACATAGTCTGGGGCTTCCTCCCGCAATAACACAGCATCAGGGAAAGTGATATAAAAGGAGTTAATGTTATTGACAGTTTTCATAACAACTGATTTGGGGAAATTAAGCAGCATATGAATAAATTTATGAAGTCGAGATGTCTTCCCTGGAGATTGGGTAACTGGGGTAGGGATGTCTTACTTTTGCAAACATGACAGTTGGCTCCAGGTGCCCTCACACTTGAACAGCACCTACTCCAGATGGCATTGCTAGGCCAAGCCGCTACCTACAAGCTGCTACCTTAAGGCACAGGGGAAAGGGTCTTGATGCTTCCAAATGGCTTCTGCTCATGGCTGCCCCAAAATGTTCCGGGGATTTTCCTACATGGGCAGAGGGTTTGGTATATGAGGAGTAACAGTTACACTTTAATTCAGGAGAAAATGATTCCCTTTTCATAAATTATTGAAGCTTAGGATCTGCGCCTTTCTCTCCCCCACTCCAAATAACAAACACGCAATAAGAGGTGATTGATTGCTAAGCCATAGCTTTCTAAGGTCTGAAAGGTCACAAAAGTTCAGAAACTGCATTCCGATATTACTAGTGGGGAACAGGATGAGTGGTGATGCCAAAGATAAGTTCAGCTTTGTGTTTCTGTCTATATGCTTTCATTTTGGAAAGTGTGGTTTTCCCTAGAGCAAGACATGCCGCGGGAAGCAGGAATCACTTTCCAATGGCCTCGCAAGTCATTGCAATGGGACGGTCCACAGGCAAACCTTGGACAAGGTATTTGATGTCAGGATGTTTATAATTTAGAGAACAAAGCAACGTAGCTTTGATTAGCTTTGTTAGAGTTCTGTTGTTCTTTATCCATCACTTTTTGGCTTACTCATTAACTTGCAAAAAGCACTGGTTCTTTTTCAGAGCAGTCAGACCGGTAGATAGCAGCGACAGCCCTACGTCTAGGCTCATCCCAGTTCTACAGAACCTGTGATAATGAGTAGCATGTCAGGGAGCCCGCAGGGAAGCTACAGAAGCTGGTATTGCATAATAGCTGTGAACTCAGCTTCTTAAATCAATTTTCACTTTCATGGTCAGGAACGGAAAGCTCTATGGGTAATGAGAAGACTAAGGGGGGAGGGTAAAATCACAGCAGTGAAGGAGGTAATCATAGTCGCATGGCACTTTACGGGTGATAAAGGGCTTGCACATCCATTGCCTTCTATTTTTCGCAGTCATTTCTTTTGAGAAAGGGCTTCTGATGATCCTCATTTTACAGACGAAGAAGCAGAGGTTTAGAGATGTTAATGAGGCCTGATTCCTCACTAAGTAGTGAAGTCAAGATTTAAAAGCACATCTTATTTGATTCTTTGTTGAATATATTGCACTGTCTCAAAAAGGCAAGTGATGTGGCATTCTCTGGTGGGGGAGGCTCGGATATAGAGGGAGCAAGCCTGACAAACAAGTACGGGATGGGGGGCCGACATCAGAGCCAGCCCCAGATTAGTCACCCTGAGGCTAGAAAGTGCTCTATCTATAAATACCAACTAAAAAAATGCTGCTGTTATCTCCATAAAAGTCATCCTTAGTAGTTTTTCTATTTTTTGCTCAGAGGTGTTGGCACTTAGAAACAACAGCTGATGTTTTCATCGAACTATTACTTGGTTTTGTTTTGGAAGCTGCGGGGCTGAAAGTGGGCAGGCAGCACAGCGCTGTGTGGACATCTGCAGGTGCAGAGACTCACGGAGGCCTCTGTCACAGTCTCCACAAGACAGATGGGGGTTAAACTAGAAGCAGGTCACAATGGAGGAATTTGGGATAAAACTCACATACCCTGACAATAGAGAAATTTTGGAAACTAGCAGAGAGAAGAAGGAAGACTAGAGGCAATGTACTTAATGTTATAAATTTAAAGTGCCTGCATTTGATCATTATTAAAAATAAATTAGATTCTCAGAGCCATGGACTGTTAGTGCTAAAAAGGGTTTGGAGTTTATGTGATTTACAGTACGTATGTAGCACATGTTGCTATGCCCCATCCATGCCCTTGACAAGCATCACAAATCTATCATTGCTTCTATTGTTGAGCCTCAACGTGGCCTCAGTATTTTTCAGTGCAACTTTTTAAGGCAGCTATTGTGAAGTGGTCAGAGTTGTAATATTGATTGAAATTTGTCATCTCTGTTCTAACCCAATCTATTCATCCTACATAGAAGAATTGGGATTCAAAGATGGTGAGTGAGTTCTTCAAGATCACACAGTGAACGAGTGTTTCAGTGTCTCCATTGGATGTTCAGAAAATTAAATCAGTTAATATACATGGGAGTCATTAGAATCAGGTTTAGTTCATAGATAATACTATTTAATGCTGCTTGTATTAATTTGATAGTTGTTGGTAGCAATGGTTGACATGCCCTTGGTAAATATGAAAAGACTTGGATTATAAGAAAAGTGAAAATGTGTGGGATTCAGAATTAAAATGTCTTGGTTGGTTGGCCTTGCAGAGAACTATATAGCCTCTTAGTTTTATCTTCCTTAACTGTAAACTATATATCTCATAGTTGTTGCAGAAATCAAATGAGAGAACTAATATAGTAAATTAATGTTTTGCAAAGGTTAAAGAACCAGAGGAAATGTGAGGGTCAAAGTTGACAGGAGTGATACATGAGGAGAATATGGGCACCATTTTGACTGATTCCAGTGGGAAAGTCTTGGGTCTCCTCACCTCAGTACCTCAATTTCATACTCAGACCATTTCTTCAAAATCCTTGTTTTAGAAATCCCACTTAACTGATTGGTGAGCACCAATGTGCTGGAAGGATGATCATCAGCTCCCCCATCCACTATGACACAAAGAGCTTTATTGAGCTTTGAGGAAGGCAAATGTTTAGTTGCAGAGGCTTGTAAGGTCTCCATTTATATGTACTTAGTCTTTATTGTCTCCCAACACAAGGGAAACTGAAAGGCATGAGACAAAAATATCACAAATATAAGCTTGCACTTTACTACTTTGTTGACTGGCTGAAATCTGGAATTAGTCATAATTAAGATAGTTTTAAGGCGACATTGTACATAGTTCAACAGGTGTGTACTAAAATTAACTATATTGTAGTTAGTGCTAATATAGTTGAACAATATCATGCTGCAAAAATCTGAACTGATTATTAGAAACTGAAATTTGTATATGTAAATGTGTGTGTGTGTGTGTGTGTGTGTGTGTGTGTGTGAGGTGGGGGGAGTGTGTGTGTATCTCAGGAAATATATGAGACATTCTAGTAAGATTGGCACAACATGTAAATTCACGCTGTGGTGTGAACAGTACACTCTGAAGTTTTGATACTGGTTCAGCTTTGTTTCTAACTACTGACCATTTATTTTCTTAGGCATTTAGTCTCCAGAGATGGACATGGAATGGTTCTAAATGTAAAATACAACACTTGGATATCAGTAAAAAGAATACTTTTTTTTTGTATTTATAGTGCAATTTACAAAGTAAAAGATTTGTCTTAATTACTAAAAAGGTCAGGAATTAAATAGAAAATTGTGCTTATTTTCATTGCAAAAATGGCAGTTTCTGGAAGCCATGTTTGCCTCAAGCCTCTGAGCTTTTGGTCATGCCACTTTGCTTCCTTGAAAGTTTTTTCTTTACCTTGTTTGGCTGACAAGTGCCTCATTTTTTTCAAAGCTTAGCTCAAAGGCCACTTCCTCTTTGAAATCACTGTTGAAGTTTCCACTATTCTTAGGCCAGAGTTTTAGACTAGAAATTGCCAAACTTTGCGCCTCTTTTATTTATTGTTCTCTTTCTCCTTCTGAAGGTGTGCTGAGTTCCAGAGCTGACTGGGATTCATATTTGGTTTCATGGTTCTTATGAAGAGAGGGTGACATGTAGGTGATGCTAGATGTATATTTTATTGCTGGATTTATATTTTATGTATTTTCCCATATTTCCTTCCTGGAGAAAGAACTATAAGCTTTTTTTTTTACCCTCTAAGCTATGAGAAAGCTTTTGTTTATTCGTAAAGAAAGTGATCTGCATGTCCGATCTTTTGTAACCTTAGATGAGACCCAAACCAATAGACCATGTTTGCTCTAGTAATATTAGAGTCCAGTTCCAACTCTTCTCATAGATAATTCAAGCTGATTGCAAGTGTTTCCTTTATTCACACGATAGACATTTATGTGTACCTGCTACTTAAGCATGGAAATTATTATTGATGTCATCTTGGAGCATTACTGGTAGACAGGTTGTTAAGCAAATGAAGGCCTTGGCTCAATTTTTATAACTTACTGATTCTGGGAAAATATTTCCTCCTCTGAAAGAGAAAAGAGGTGCCTCTAAATACTTTAAAAATGATTTCCTAAGGAAGAGAGTTCTTGTGTGAGCTTTCCTCAGAAAGGCTTGCAAGAATGAGGTATGATGTCTGATGTTTCCTCTTTCTGTACCTGTGTCTACTGGAAGCACACTTGAAAAAGGAAAACCAGACAGCAAAGAAACTAGGACCATTGGTCTTCATGAAATCCAACAAACAGTTATATATTTTTTGGTAATAAATTGAAGCACCTCAGGAGTCAGAAAGACAAATCTATGGTCACTTCTTCATGGCCTGCTTTCTTTGTTTTAAAATAAAATGAAGAGGGGTAGAAGGCAAAGGTTTCCCCAAGTTGGGCTAATAATGAATTTTTGAGTAAAAAGAATCTAAATATGGGTCATGTTGAGA